AAGAGCACAAGGAAACCCAGTCAACGAGCCCAAAACAACCTGATTTTGCGTTTTAGTTTTCAAGATGATGGACAACAGTTATGTTTTTTTTTCTCAGGATGATGGACAACCGTTTTTTATTTGGTTCGGTGAATGCTTATTATTTTTGGTTTTTATATTTGGCTTTTGGTTTGGTGAATTCTTTTTATATTTGGTTTTTGGTTTGGTTTGGTGAATGGTTTTAATATTTGGTTTTTGGTTTGGTTTTTGGTTTGGTGAATGCTTTTTATATTTGGTTTTTGGTATTGTGAATGCTTGCTATATTTGGTTTTTGGTATTGTGAATGCTTTCTATATTTGGTTTGGTTTGGTTTGTTTTTTCGTGGAAATGGCAAAGGGACTTCACCAAAATTCCAGCTTCCAACTTGTGAGTGAGGTTGCGTCTGTTCAAGGCTTCAAGCCATTGTATCTTGTAGAGAGGTTTAATTGGGATCATGTATAGTTAAACTGATTGGCTCCCAATCGTATAATTAAATTTGCATTCATGTATAGGTAACCCAAAAGGTAAAACTGATTGGCTCCCAATCGTATAATTAAATTTGCATTCATGTATAGGTAACCCAAAAGGTAAAACTGATTGGCTCCCAATCAGTATGAATAATGACCAAACCCAGTACAAGGCAGATAGAAAATTCTTATGTAATTAATTTAATGTTCCTAGGATATGGAAAGGCTTCCATGTAAAGGATTGAAAGTAGTGATTTACATTGATGAGGAGAGTGGCTTAAGTACCAACTCTTGAACAGATTGAAGCTACAAAGTAGGAGCCACTAACCCACTAACTAAAACTAATGACGTTACTAACTAATAATAATAAAATTAATTATTTACAGAAATTGAATTTATGCACAGCCCTTATCATTCCATTCCTTGAATTTCCACCAACGATGTTTTCACTCCCCCTTTAGTCAGAGAATTCATTGTAGTAATAAATACAATAAAAAGGCATACATAATTAATGGATTCTTTATTGTGTATAATTAAAAGGATATTTTACTATAAACGAAGCATGATAGATCCACAGGGGGATAAAAGAAGCGTGAGTCTTGATGAAAAAGGGGAAAAAAATCACCATAGATAAAAAATCATTATAATCAACCTAATTGGAACTGCTTAGAACAAAAGCGGATTAAAATCTCCCCAAATGAAATTCATTTGCAATTTCATAGGTAGTCCCTACTTCCACTTCTATAATTTTGAGAAAACATTGCAATTTCATCAATAGTCCCCACTCGTGGGCCAATTTCAATTGCAACCAAATTTGCACCCTTGCAATAGCTTCTCACATCATAGCAAGTGTAGGATGCAATTGCACCTCCTTGCTTAGGGATGACCATTACTGCATCTCGTCACCTGTCTTAGGGAAATTAGCCATGGCAAATTCACAAAATACTGCATGCATAGAAAAATATTTGTCTGGATAATTAAAAAAATGGGAGACTTTCCTAGTCAGATGATGTACTGGCTCCCCTCAGTACCTGACAGTTTTGAGTGCCGGAGAAAAAGACTGGAAAAAAAAAACAACGAAGCCTTAACAAAACACATCCAATGCTGGCCCCTTCACTGCTCCACCCCGCCCTGCACTGCTCCACCCCGCCCTGCATCAATCGACTATAATGTAAGCCGAGGACGTTTGCTTGAGGATGCCTCATGGGTCTCTTCAAGCTCCGTATGCCGAAGGTCATAAAAAGTATTGGTCACTTCGACGATACGGTAGACTGGCAAATAGGCGGAATGGTCCTCCCTAGCATAAACCCCCATATCCATCCCAACCCTTCCAAGAAAGGTGGTCAAGAAGGTGGCATATGGAAAGGCAGTGTACCAGTTTTCCCCTCTAGGAGCAGCCTCAACCATGTTCACGCACATGAGAGATGCGAGGTTAAGAGGAACACCTCTTTGAGCTTGCACAAGGATAAACAGGTCAAGTTTACGAATTATCGAATGACCACTGTACCTTGGCATGAAGCAGTTGACGATCATCCAATGGAGGAATCGAAGAGGATCTGGGAGGAAAGAAGCCTGGATGCGCCCATTCGTCAGTTTCCCCAGTTCAACTTCGAACTCAAAATCGTACAGCCGCCGAAGATCGCTTCTGCTATCAATGTGGTGTCCTGCGGCGGGGAGATCGAGGATCTCAGCAAACTGATGAGGCCGGAAGCAGACTCTATAACCCAGGAAGTCGACACGAGATGAGAATCGGAGGGACCAGACAACTCTAAATTGTGGTAGAACTTCCTCACCACATGCGGGCAGTAACTGGTGCTTCCTCGACTCCGGAGATCGAAGAACTTTTCCCAGCCAAGATTTTTAATTAACTTCTTCACTTCTTGAGGGAAAGGACTCAGGTGGATGAACTCGTACTCGGCCACAATAGATGTCTTGCTCGTGAATGAAAGATAGTCCGCGAGACTTGTGGTGGATCGGCAGTCGTCGTTTGATAGAGTTAGAATGCCCATGTTTGCCATGGAGTCAGAGGAAGAAGGAACAAGGGAAGGTGAAGATGGTGGAAAGAGAGATTGTAGGGAAAGAGAGATTGTAGGTGTAAGAAAAAGTGATCGTGGGGGTTGAGTGTGGAGACGTGTGATGGAGATGGTTGAGTCTGGAATGTCAAGAGTTAGAAGATTTGGGAAGATATGTAGTAATGATGATGTTAACTCGTGTAGGTTAAACTAGGGTAACTAAAGCTAGTTAAACTAGGGTTGGCGCTGATACCGCAGGAGAAAACTAATGGGCTCGCACGTTCCATGCCCACTTTTGAATATTGCATGGGTCATGTACAAGCCCACGTTTGAATGTTATTTAAAAGCCTGCAAAAATCAATGATCAGACCCAGTCCAACTAGAATTAGTCTAAACGCACCGTTAATACATAAACACAAACTAAGGAGACCTCTCCATCCTATTCGAATCAAATTATGTGTTCTTCATCTTCTTCCTCAATCCTCTGGGCGAGACGAACACTACATATCAGGAAACCTAAATTTCACCGAGAGATATAAGGCTCGAGAAAATCACAATAACGCTAAGACAAGATGACAAAGCACTAGGGACATGAACCCTAGGGTTAGCAAACCTCTTTCAAGGGTTCTTTTGCAAATGAAAAGTTCGATGAACACAATAATAGACATGGTCGCCGTAATCGTGTTAGAAAGAGATAGGCGAGGGGAAATATTATGGCGAAGAAGAAACAAGACAATTTTTTTTTGGGAAATTCAATCTACGTCGAATGTGGATGGGGAGCTTCTCTTGGAACTGTGAAGGGGCGTCCCTCCAAGACGAGAGAGGGATCGTGTAATTGGTTAGGGAGACTGGAAATTGGTTTGGGCGGCAGTGGGTCTACCCAATTGGGTTTGGGTCTTAATCCATTTAATTTAATCGGGGCAGTTAGTTGGACTAGGATGAAAACAAACTTAACGCGGAGGAGGCTTTTTGTAATTTGTTTAGTTATTTAGTGGCGCAGTTAGGTTTAACAAACGTGAGCCGTGGAGATTGAAAACGAACGGTTAAGATCGGCCAAGGTACCCGTACCCGGCTTTTGCCCTGGGCACCGTAGAAGTCACCATATATATATATATATATAGTGGCTACTTCGGTGCACTCACAAAAATAAGTGCATTCAATGCACCCAACTCTAAAAGTAGCCTTAAGACATCAATTTTTTATTTTAATTGCTAAGATTAGTGTAATATGATAATATAATATAAGAACACAACTAATCAATGCATTACCCTAAGCCCTAAACGTTCAATTTTGAACTTTTTCCCTAAACCCCAAATCATGAACCCTAACCCTAAATCTATAAATCATAATTTCTTCAAATTAATGTAAATTTTGAATAATTTTTGTGCTAATTCATGGGGTTTCTTGTTCATCGTATCATACGTGATGATTAACATTGTTTTGACATGAATCGCATGTTCATAATGACAAATATGAAGCGAGTGCATTGAATGCACCCAAAAAAGTGAGTGCACCGAAGACATAACTATATATATATGGTGCCTTCTACGGTACCCCGGGTGAAATCCGGGGTACCGCATACCTTGAGTATGAAAACGCTATTTAGACCTCGAATTAGCAGGTTTTTTGGGCATGATACTATACCCTAACCGTTAATAAGTGAACCCTAGGTCCTAATTATCTAAATCATAAACTATAAATCCTAAGATGATGCATTGATTTTTTGCCTACATTTGGACGAATCATAACCGTCGATTATTGTTTCTAATTAAATTGATCTTGGGGTATAAGATTTAAAGAATTAAGACCTAGATGTTGATCTTTTAGGGTTAGAGCATAGTATCATGTGCGAAAGATCAGTCAATTCAAATTATGGATAGTGTTTTCTTACTCAAGGTATGCGGTACCCCGGATTTCATCCTGGGTACCATAGAACTCCCCATATATATATATATATATATGGGTTAGACTAGCGTATGTCAGGCGTATACTATACGTCAGGTACTACTAGTGAGATATCTCTATCTAGACCATGAATTAAATCGAGTTTGGGGTATGATACTATACCCTAACCTCTAATGGATAAACCCCAGACACCGATTTTCTAAACTCCAACCCGAAGTTTGATTTAATGAAAAACAAAAATTGACCGTTGAGATCGGCCGGAGCTCATCTAAGTACATCTAACGGCTAGATCACTTGACATATATACGTCTGACGTACACCAGTCATTACCATATATATATATATATATATATATATATATATATATATATATATATATATATAGATTATAGAAACGCAAAACAAGAGGAAAATGAACATCCATACGTGATTCGAAAGGTGTGTAATCACACTCTAGTTAGGAACCCAGAACATACATGGAAATATACTTCTAGTGACGTGAATTTATTGCACGTACCTCTAATAAAGATCGACCTCGAACCTTCCCACTTGATGATGCTCCGACACGTAAAACATTCTTCTGACAATGAGTCGGTCATTTGTGACGATAAATCATTAATTCACGTATTTCGTCTATTTTAATATAAATTGGATCAAAAAACAAGTAGAATACAAGACATGGGAGCTTCACTTGACTGATAAAAGGGAAAACTGAAACAAAATGTTGTGTTGTTGTACTCTTCATACAAGCACTATCTGCTGTTGTGAGCTGTGTTCTTTACAGTGATGTTGTAAAATACAAAAGCCAATTCAAGGAAAAGGGAAAAAAAAAAGGAGAAAACGAACCGATAATTAAGACAAGTCCTAGAAAGAAAGATAAATTATCATCCAGTTTCCACATCATGTATTTAGGATTCAGCCTCATTATCTGAATCAGTAATTGCACGTTCTCTGGTGTCTAAGGTCGCAATCTCCCTAATCACTTCAGATTTGTCTGCCTCAAACTGTTCATCCTCTGCAAAACAAACAATGAACAAATATTAAGAAGCTAAAGATGGACTGCTTAGATGGTCGATTTTCAAAGCAATGCAAGTAAGAGCTGGACTGCTTAGATTGACAAGAGTAAAATTGCATACCTTTCTCAGTTGTTAAACCAGCTAAGAACCTGAGAAGCTTGTTCTTGTTCTGAATCAGCACACCGACGATCTCAGGAGGCTTGCTTTGGTTTGCCACAAACAGCTGGGCAAACATTAAAGAGTATAGAGATTGTAGCAAAACAGTCATTAAACTGAAAGGAAAAAAAAAATGAACCAGAATGCTAACTAAACCAAGTGAGCTGGCAATAAAACAATCCGCTGAGCCGTAAGTTGGTTGGAGCATGCCAAACAAACGTTTGTATTATTACCACAAAAATCGGCCAGTCAACACCTCACACACCCAACTCGAAGATTTGGTCGAGTTATAGAATGCTGATTGATTTATTTTTGTCACATAACAGTCCTATTTGGCATTGCTGACTCAGTCAAATTAACGTAGAATCAAATGGAGGGACGGTGTCAATGGTGCCTATAAACAAAAGAATCAATGTGTCATCCATCAAATTTGAGAACTATACCTTGAAGACATGGAAAGCTTCCATCTGTATGGACTTCTTTTCTTCCTGCCCAGTAACAAGAAAAAGAGTTGGTGCATCATCACATTTAGAATACGAAAGATTGCAGAGAGAGAGAGAGAGAGAGAGAGGGAGAGGATCTTACTCTGAAAAGGTTCATCATTATTCTCAGGTTATCCAGTGAGCTCACATATCGAACCATCACCGCCGAATTTGATCGATCAAGGAGCATATCTCCCAGAAGCTGAGTGAACAAGAGCAAGTAAAAAGGGATCACATGAAAGTAGGAACAATGCAAGTTTTGTTGCAGTGATTTGTCATTCACCATAGTCAGTATACACAGAGGGGTCGGAAAATGGATACCTTGACAGCATGCCTTCTGGTTATGTATTTATCCGACTCAAGCAACTTTGAATTGTATTCCACGAAGAACTGAAAGGATAAAGAAATTTGCAGAGACGTGATTGGTTGTTAGTGACCAACTGAGTTCGAATAATTACGTACCACCTCCTTCTTTCAGTTCCTTAACCGAACTCCTCAAACATGAAGGGTTGGAGCATAATTACGTACGTACCCAGTCGAAATTGTTGGTTAGAAATTCAGAAACGGTTGATTTATGCCTTGTGAGAAGTTCCTACAATGAATTTTGTTTACGTGACAGTATAAAAATGTGAGTCATGAAAGAAAAGGTTAAACGCAGTTATGCTATACATGACAGGGAGAAGTTGATCCTTGATATCAAATACGTAACCTTGAAAGTGGCTTGAGCATCGGATGAGATTTCAAAAGTCTCAATCTGAATGTATTCAAAGAAATTGCGCATGTGCTCTGATTCCAGGACATACCTGAAAGACAAACTCAGAAATCATCAACACATACAATTCGGCTAATCAAATCAAATCAAATCAAATAATATGTATATTTCTGGGAATGCAGCAGCTTACTTTGCTACCACCTGGTGGCAGATTAGCTCTCTTGCAATGATCCCATAAGGCACTGCTATCTCATCATCTGCATAACTGCGAATGGAAAAGACACATTTTGCTTTTCTAAACCAAAAAAACCACCCACGCAAACTAGTTCGTAGATACCGATATTAAAAAAGGTTTACCCAGGTAGCAAAATGTCCAAAAGATCCAAATTGCTCTCCATGTACTGCGGAGCCACCAGCCTCCCTTGCACCTTCTGCTTCTGCAAGTTGGAAATTACACGGGCCGCAATCTGACGAGACTGCAAACCATTTTTTTGTTTTTCAAAGGGAAACGCATCATGAGCATATCAGCTCTTTTCTCAGAAGGCAACGATCAGGTATAGTTACCCACCCCGAGGTCGAGTTTAGGGATGCAGACGATGAGGATACGCAGTGTGTCCTCTCGAAAGAACTCCTGGGTCAATTGTGAGCAAGCCTCAGCATTTGGCTCCGATTGCCCTTCACCGAACAGTATAGTCCTTATCTCCACTAGAACTTTCCCTAGCTCTGCCATCTGCTCAAACACACACATTGTCGTTGGATTGTACTAAGATTTTATGCATGTTATCATCATTCCTAATGCAATTCTGTATCATAGCTAGCTTCGATTGTAATTGTAATCTCTCAATCCTAATGCAATTCTGGATCATCACGTTTGCAATGGCATAACAGAATCGAAACGTTTCAATTGGTGCAGGAAAACGAGGGAGAGAGAGGAACCTTACCTTGTCTTCGCGCTTTTTTTTCGGGATGTCGGAGGGATCGCGGTGGGCGAAGAGGATGAGTTCCCGGAGGTGTTGGACGAGCTCCACCGGTGTCCGGCTCCTGGTTTTGAAGAGTCCTTTCATCGTTACGCAGACGACCACCACGCACGCGGTTTCCGATGATTCTCTCTCTCTCTCTCGTTCAAATTCCTCCTCCGCCGCCCCTGCTCATCATCCGCCGCCGGATCTCGCGAAACGAATAGGAGAAACAAAGGGGGGGAACGGATCGGAGGATTGAGCAGATGATTAATTAAAAGTTAAAACGAAGAGAAAAAGTTAAAAACTTAATAGTAATAATACGATTGGATTAGGATTGATTTGCGAGAGAATTAAGGTATAATAATCGCCGCAGCAGCGGCGGGTTTTCGCGGGAAGCCGCTAACGTGTGGTATTGCCGTTGGGGGGAGGCTTATTGTGGGCGTGGGGCTGTCCGTACAATCCGTTACAACTGTACGGTCCCTCTTCGTCGGGGGCCGGGAGCTGACGTGTCGGGGCCGTGGGTCACGCAGGTCAGCAACCTGGGTTTACTATTTTTTTTTTAAATACAACATAATAGCCTTTAGACGATGGTGAGCTGGCAGATGTTATGCTGACGTGTAAGAGACATTCTGATGTGGCAGTCAACAAAAATGCATATCAGCCGATAAACTATACCTTAATTACTTTTAAAAATATTAAAAAAATAATAGTTGATCAATCGTTTCTTCTCCCCTCCATCTTCTGTTCTTCTTCTTCCCTTCATCTACCGCAGAAGTTCCCCAAAATTCCAATTTCATAACTTAATTTTGAGGAGAAGTAGCGACTATCTTAACCACCTAATTTAGTTAAAGGAAACAAACTCCCAATTCCAACAATGAAATTTCATAACCTCCAAAGTTGATCCTTCCCAGAATAGCCGAAGCAAGCTCTGTCTTTTTGTTCGATCGAATCTAGAGTGCTCACCCAATCGAAGATCAATTATAGATCCAACTCCAGACCGAAGCGATGCTAAACCCTTTTATATTAGCAGTGCAATGGCATTTTCTACCTTGAACCCAGCAAACCATATCCAACTCCAACCCGCCTCCACCGCACCGCTTCTGCTTCTCTCTCCATTCTCCAGATCTACCCCATCTGTCAAAGTATCGCCAAGGATTAGTCGGGCATGGATTTTGATGTCCCGAGACCAAGACCATAACTCCCCAATCGACGCCTACTTGAGCGAAGGAAACGCATTCGGTGACAAAACTTCCGCCTCTACCTCGGTCGATGAACTGGGGAGATTTGAAGAGGAAGTTGAAATTGCCGACAAAAATCAGGGCGACCAGAGCTGGTCATTGTGAGAGTGGGGCCGCAATTGGCTAGGGAAGATTGAAGAGATGGGAGTTGTCCCTCCGACGAAGTTTCTGGTGGCGTTGGAGGGTCTGTGGTGGCGTAGGAGGAAGAAGAGGAAGGGGAGAAGAAACGAGGGGATAGGTTTTTATTTTGTCTTACTTTTTTTGGGTTAATTGCATGGTTGGTCACTGAGATTACAAAAAATGTTCAAGTTTGGTCACTCGAAATATTTAAATCCATTGATGGTACTTCAGTTTACTAAAACCGTTCACGTTTGGTCACTCTCCGTCCAACTCCGTTAACTTTGGCTGATGTGGCAGTCAACTCTAAAAGTTGATCGTTAACTTAGTGACGTGGCAACTAAAAAATTATTAAAAAAATAAATTTTTATAGTTTCCACCTCATTATTACATTCATTAAAAAATAATAAAAAATAAAAAACCTAATTAGGTTTTGTATTTTTTTTATCATAACACACCACACCATCAATTTCCACCCACCATACCACACCATTAATTGCCATCCGCCATTAATTTTCCATCTAACTGACACCACATTCATTCTCTCCATCCACTGTAGCACACCAATTTTCCATCTAACTTGTTCCACATAAGCTCATATTCGGCATTTGAAACAGAGTCAAAGACTGATCAACAACGAACAATTTTGCAAGGAGACCTCCAAAGGTAAATATAAAAACTCACCAAGATCAAAAGGGCAGGGCAAGGCAAGCCAAGCCATGTGATGCATGAATATTGACTGTAGCTCAGAGAGGGAAGACAGAGTCTGAGAGTTTGGCGGTTGGAAAGCTCGATTGGACTTTAGGGTTAGAGGTGAGGCGAAATGGAAGAAGAAGCTCATCTCATAGGGTTAGAGTTAGGACGGCGAGAAGATGAAAGGATAAGAAGCTGTATTCGGGGGATCCAGATGGAACCACGAACCAAATAAGAGAAATGGAACCGTTTCGCGCCGGCCGTCTTGCCGTCGCCGCCTCGTGCTTTGCGAGAGGGGTCGATTTTGATTCTATAGGAAAAGAGAAGATATGGCGTATGGTGTCTGCGGAAGACGGAGATGGGTTGCGGAGGCGGTGACGAGGGATTCGATTACCCAGATGACGAAATGAAATCGACCTCGATTCGCCCATGCCGGCTTCAATTGAATCGAAGAAGAAAGAGAAAATGGCTGGAGCTTTTAAGCTGAAGAAGAAAGGAGAGGTGGAAGGAGAGATCGAGAATAGCTGGATTTTCCAGGGATCCGATTGCTGAAGAAGGGGAAAGCAAACTAGAGAAGAGAAACGATAAGATCGCAGGGCTCGGCAGCAGATGAACGGAGAAGGAACTTGAACTAAGGACAAGGATCCAACGGTCACAATTGGCCAGTCCAAGGTGTTGAATGTAATAATGAGGTGGAAAATATAAAAGTTTATTTTTATTTTTTAATAATTTTTTAGTTGCCATGTCACTAAGTTAACGGTCAACTTTGAGAGTTGACTGCCACATCAGCTAAAGTTAACGGAGTTGGACGGAGAGTGACCAAATGTGAACGGTTTCAGTAAGTGAACTGGCCATAAGTGAACTGCCAGGTCCCTTTTCCATCAAAATGCAATAGGCGTTGGCGAGAATGTTGACATCGGTAAAATCCGGACTAATGTGGCAGTCTTCGTTATAAAATGAATAATGGTAACGGACTGTTAGCCATATCTTGACCCACAACAATAGTTATGGCTAATAATTTATATTTTGATAGTTGTGGCTATTATTTTGCACTTGTGATTAGTTCTGGCTAATATATTGTATTTACCTTTATTTCATTAGATCTCTTGTTTAGAGAGATAAAACATCCATCACATAGGATAGAGTACGAATACACCTAGCGTATTGGCTAGTAACCCAAGTAACATAGTCGAACCTCTGCAAAAAGCAAGGCGACAAAAACAGAGCCTTACAAGCCATTAAATGAGCCACTCTATTACGAACACGTCCTATTAACATCACCCGAAACCCCAATTGAGACATCAAGTACCCAACAGTTTCCTGCAGAATTGTCCCCGCTTGAACATGAGAAAGATCATTGCTACAGCATCGATCAATCACCGTTTTAGCATCCCCCTGAACAAGTGCATTGTGGATTGTTGTGCTCTGTACAATAAGCCAAACAATCCCTCAACACCAATGCTTCCAAAACAAAGGCATAAGATATGCCATCATAACGATTCACTGCGGCATGAAGGATGCTTCCACATGCATAAAAAAGAACAAAAGCAGCCGACCCTTTCTTGTCCCCTGAAGTAGCCACATCAAATGTAGCTTTAAAAACATGTGGCGGCTATGACTAAACGAGAAGAGTGGTGAGATTGTACTGTGGCGTAGCAGTTGATTGCGGTGGCCACAGAACAGCCTTGTCATATTTCTCTACTTGCTGACTCCATTGCCACGCCAGCGTTGAAGGTTGGAGCAGGACATAGTCGAAAACCACCGAGCATTGATTTTTCCATAAACGCCAAAGCCAGCAAATAACTTGCAGCAGCTTGTACTCCAAATCAATTCCTTCCATAGCCAACAAATCCGAACGGGGAAAGACAACAAAAAAAAAACAGTTGACCAATTTGATAGCTCATGAGAGAGACCAATTGCCCTCCAAAATCATCGAGCAAGCGGACATTTGAAAAAAAAAATGTTCAATGGATTTAAGTCGACGATTACAGAAGGGGCAGACTGGACTCAGATCCAATCCATGAATATCCAAAGCCTCACGCGTCGGAAAGATGTGATGCAATCATTACCATAAGAAAAGAATAAGTTTGGGTGGCACTTTTGATTTCCAAAGCCAAGTCCAAACCAGACGATCCATAACGTCAACACGAACCTTGCATATAACAGTGTGAGCAAGCGGAAAAGAAAGATGGTAGCAAGTCTTTACCTCATATTCACCCGACGAAGAGAAATGCCAAACCTGTTTATCTACCAGAGGTTGACGGGGAAGAGGAATGGATAGGATCTCTTGAATTGAAGACTCCGTGAAGAACGCATGTAGAGCACCTTGATTCCATAACTTAGTCTTAGGGTTGATGAAGGCCGAGACAAAAGCTAAGCCCGAACCATCATAGCTACCTGGGCTTACTACTACTTACGTGTGTAAGTTGTAACTAACTGGCCATTTCCGTGAGAATATCCCGTGTGTAAAAGTTCATCCTGACGATCGTCCAAACTTAATACGTAATTTACTGAAGTGCCCATTTTGAATTTCAAATTGAAACACAAAACAAACAACCCTTCCCTTCCTTTCCATAAACTCTTCGCCTCCCTCCTCTCTGTTGTACAACACACCCTGCTAAATTTCCGCCTCCAGTTGCGCGCCACTGTCCGTCACGCGTCGTCATTCTTCCATGACAGCAGCCGCCGTTACCTTCGCCAGCAACCACAACCACTGTTCCATGATACAACCGAAAATTAGCTTCGGTTAAGTTTTTTTTTTTGGATTTTTTAGCATTTTTTCCATATTTCCTTATGTAGTTGCTAATCATGCTTCAGACATATTCTCGACGATTATGGCTCCAGAATGTCGATGATGAATTCGAGAGTGTGGAAGAACGAGTGTTTTTCGTTTTTTAGTCAATGTGGTGGATGTTTGTTAAAGGGAAGGTAAAGATGCCAAAAGGTTAAAAAGTGTAACTTGGTTTTTTTTAGGATGATCATTAGCATTTAACAATGACCTTTATCAACTCCCTAAAATTTTTCGGTAGTTAATCTATAGTTTGATTTTGACATATCCACAAAATAACTGGAATGACAATGGATGGCTGATTGATATAGTTTGGGTCATGGGTTTGTAAATTTCCTACTGATTTAGGCTTAATTACACATGTTTATACCCCATTTTCTTAGGCGTTTGAAATGTTTGCGTCGTCGGAGGTTCGATTTTACGCTAGTTTTGTGCATGTTTTAGCATGTTTCAGATTATAGCAGGTGGAATTGACCTCGGGAGCGAAAGAGGGAGAAAGCGGATCGAAAGGGACAAAAAGGCAAAAGGCACGGGCAAGGGACATTCTAACGAGCGACAGACCGTGAGGATTCGCTAGTG